CAGATCCAAACACTACTAGGAAAATGTGAGCCCACAACCAAGTATTATGCAATAGGTACAAGAAAAAAGCCAGAGAAGAACAATAGCTGCTCAGATATTTACAGCTTAATTTACTATACTATACCTGATTGTAATGATTGCTCTGAAACTATGGATGCAGTAAGAAGGAAACAAGAAAAAAAATTAGTCAAGTAATTGTTTTTTTTAAATTTCCAGCAATACGTGAGAGAACAAGTTGTAATATACAATTTATTACACATGACCATTTGCATCAGTTACAGAACATCTTTTATGCTGCAAAATCTAAAAAGTTCCACAACAGTATTAACAAATTCTCTTTTCTTGCTTTATTACTAATGTATTTACATATGATGAAGTATCTCACTAGTTAATTCACCACCTAGCAGACAATGCAAAGACACTCTGTTCAGTGAAGAAGGATTAATGTTCCTCAGCTGGCAGGAGCTGCAAATATTGAAAGGACAGCTTGCATTCACAGAGAAAGTGAGAAGAAATGAAAATGACTTTCAACTAATTTTGAGGTGAGGATGATTTAGCAGGTTTCAGATACAGGAAAAGTTACAAAACATGAAACCTTGTGGTAAAGAAATGAGAGGAAAACAGCCTTTCAGGTTGCACACAGGAAATATATAAATATCTACAAGATGAAGACTACAATTGAGCAGATTTTTTTTTCTTGTGCCACAGATTTGCACCAAAGCTTTGACACATTTTTCTCATTCTAGATTGAGAAGTGTCCAAGAGAAAGAAGGGGGGGGGGGGGGGGAATGAAAGAAAGGAAAAATTAAGAGTGTTATTAATCCCCAAAAATGGCAATAACTCACCATTTATGACACTCTTACCTGGGATCTTGGAAAGAAGACTCAAATTTAAGTTCCTTCTTTGCCCAAGAATTAACTCCTCTCTTTTTTATCTCCCAGGAGAGTACTCTAAACACAGCCCTACACCTAGCCTTCTTACTATTTTCCTGCCCATCAGACCTGCAGAAGGATGGGACACGACTGTAGTCCTGGGGACCACGTAGCCTACACCTCTGTTTGGGGATGCTGGATGCCGTGGTTCAGCTCTCTGTTCTGTTTAGGTGAACCACTCTCCTGTAACGAGACCACCCATGTCCCACATGGCTACTTTGCCTAAGCTGAGTTTCTTATTGAAATCTCTCTGATCTTGATGCAGAATTCCACCCACAGCCTGACAAGCTTCTGTGGCGCACACGTTCCTGGGAAAGACTTCTCACAAAAAAAATTAATCAGGAATTTTCTGGTAGCTCCTATTACCTTAAATTTTCTTCCATCACCAAAACCCCTTTGTTCCTCACTACCTTAGAAATCAAAATGAGGATAAATACCAGCATTCTTAAGCTTGAAAAAAAAAAAAAAAGCTTTCTATCATCTAGTTTAACACTGTGGTGAGAATTTCTTTACTGACATGACAGATCAAATTAAGGAACACATTTAGCAAATAATAAAAAAAACTTAAGATTTTTATAAATCGGGATTTTTCTCCCAAATTCAGCATGTAATTGTCATGATTAACACTTGCTATAAATAGATCTGAAGAACTGAATGAACATATCTAACATGCATTGACAGTAAAGTTCTGACAAATATGCTCCACAAATATTTACCTATTACACCACCAGACATCAATAAAACATAAACAGTAAAAAAAATTACTGCAGCATGTTAATTTGATAATATTAGTAAAGCAGAAGTAACTTTCATCTTTTAATAAGCCCACAGAACAGAAAATAGCATTTATACTTTCCAATATTGCTTTGAAAACAGACTCCATACAGCTTTCTTACACCAAATAGTTATCAGACAGATTAAAATCCTGAAGGACACATACCGCGTAAACTGCTGGTGGTTAAGAGAGCCCGTGCTTTATCTGCTAAATCACTATTTAGGGTATTTCCCAATAACAAAACATCAATGGCCTCCTGCTTGGAGCTATCAAAAAAGTTATTTTGAATCGTTCTGGTCACAGAACGAGCACCATCCTTCAGCTTTCCAGCCTGTTAGGGAGGAACACGTATAAAATATTTTATGTTGGACACTGCTCACAATAACATTGGCAATATTCACTAACATATTTGTAAACTGCATTAACGATTTTAAAATCTACTGCAATCTTCTTCTCTAAGTGTTAAATAAGTCTTCTGAGCCTACTGTACTATGTGTGCTTCCGCCCCACCCCAAATGCTAAACACCACAGTAATAACTTCAAGGCATACCTAACAACCAGATTATTAAAGTTCAACTTATTTAAATTAAACAAAATACTGCAGGGAGGGGAATAATTTTTTTTCCCCTAAACCCTTGGTCTTCAAAAATTAAATTGATATAGTGCCATGTTTAAACCATGATACAGAATTTTGGGCTTTTCCCCAAATAGTGAGAGATGAGCAAGCACTTGAGTCCAAATGTCATGATACATGAATATGTACGTATATGCACATATAAGCATATTAGTTCAGAATTCACATTCTGAAATATCCATGTTAAAAAAAGAGATAGCGTCAACTTATTAAGACACCTTAACTTTTTAAAATAACATGCAAGTCTCATGCAGTATCCCAGAGGGAACATATACACTTATCTATAGCTACATACATACGAAGACACTGTTGTTGCACAGACCGCACACAAGTGGCACGATTGAACAGCGCTCCAAAAGAACAGTGTCCAACTACCTGAACTAAACAAGAATCTCTGAGAGATGTACTGCTACTACAGATACTCCCTGTGGGTCAGACACCTAGAGGATAATGTGATCAACACGTCATGCAGTCTCATACTTGATTCAAAAACCAGCAGTGTTAATCTGTGTACACAGCACTGACGACAGGCACAAAGACATTATCTTGACTACTTGGTTTACTGTGTCTTATGCATGTAAGTGTACCTTGCCTGTGACGTGTATGTAAACACATGCTATTGCATGTATAAGAAATATAGACCGTAATCCATCAGGGATGCTGCATGGTATTATGTTATTATAAAAAATACTCCAAGTTTACAGCTTGCATTGTTCATGAAGGTCTCTTAAATGCATAAGAAAAAAAGACTAAAGCTTAAGAAAACTACAAAACTAACCCATCATTGAGTTCTATGAATTGTACAACACAACAAGAAAGAAAGTACATTTTTGTCAAGGATAAGTAGTAGTAAATCAGCACCATGATTTTTGGAAGACAATGTGGATGAGGTGTTGGGGAGCATACTATTGCAATAGGATTTTAATAGGATGCTGCTCCCATTCTCTCAGACAATGTACAATTTATGACATGATCCAAAAAACACACTCACCATTCACATATCAGGCAATTAATTGAAAGGAACCCAGAGAAAGCAAGAGAAAGAGCAGGTAAGGAGTTAGATGTAACAAGTATTATAATACTTCAAAAAGGACTGTTTTTCAGTATAGAAATGCATATTAACACATTTAAGGTTAAAATTTTTTTCTCCGATCCTAAATTTCCATATTTTTACTTCTAAGTACTCTTGGACTTTGAAGGATCAAACTGACAAGCAAGAAAGGGAATAATTTTAACCATGAAACTTTTCATTTGAGAAATGAGAATACAAGTAACAATTGAAAAACCTACATTTTAAAACACATTATCAGAGTACTCAAGAACATATTGAGTAGTGACCTGGTCAGGTTTCACTGAAACAATGCCAAATACTGTATGGCTTTGCAAGTATGAAAGATCCTCTTCAAATAGATGGACTTCCATCAGGGACACTGTGTTTGATTTATGAGATGTGATACTCATTAACAGTTGGACCAGGGCAGGGATCCTGTGTTATTACAAAGACAGCAGAGTAAATGTACTCTGTGTTTTAAACATTGAAAATGGAAGTGTAAATACAGTAAACACATTTTACAAAGTAAAAAATTTAAGTAGCCAAATGAATGGCAGAAAACTAGTAACTTAGGAAAAGAAACAAGTAAGGTTGAATGAGAAAGTCAGGAGAAGGGGAGACACCCCATAAAATACTTACTGTAGTTTTCCTGATGGTCTGGGTGACTTTTTTGCAAGAAAATAGAACTAAACATCTTTAACCAAATTCCACTCTATGCTAAAATACAAGCAATTGTCTTGTATGTACCAATTCAGGGTAGAATAATCAACAAGTCTATTTTACTTATTTTCTTTTTATGTGGCTTACTGCAATGCCTTGTACATGTGCAGGGAAGGGCCCTGATATGGTCCGAATGAACAAGTGGTGGAAAAACGAAACAGCTGAGTGCGAGTACGTAGTATACAATATGGAATGAGAAGCAGCACATCCTTGAATAGAAAGAACGGTATGAAAATAAATTCTTGGAGGAACTAAGGGCAAAAATCACTATGGTTCAACATTTGTTTGTCTTGACAGGTATCACCTTGTAAGAGAGAGAATATGGAAACAAAAAAAAGCAACATTGTTAAAAGAAAAATAAAAGACAGCATTAGAAAATCTGAACAACCCAGGCATCAACAAAGACAAAACAAGTTGAAGAGGAACAGAGCATTCATTACACTGTCATGTAGTACGGAATTGCTATCACAACATTAGAAAGCAAGGTAGAAACAGAATTTGGGTTTTTTTCAGTAATTGCAAAACTAAAAAGAAATAGCTGGAGGGACATGCAAACAAAAAACACCCAGCTGCAACCTGTTTAATTTTAACACTGTTAATAAAGATGTTAATAAAAATTCTAAAAGCACAAACAACAATGTCCAGTGAAACACATTTTAAAAGAAAGGAGATACAGTGAATGAAACTGAAACAACAGGAGGCAGAGGTACACAGAGAAAAATGAGAATATTCAAAGAATCTAAAGCTGATTTGAATATACATTTTTCTGAACTATGATCTAAAGAAATGAAAGTTTTGAGCCTCATCCTTTCCTACAGAATGGTGTTATCTGGGAGGTATGGGCATGGCTGAGAAAGGATATACTGAAGCAAGATCTGGGTATCAACATAACCAACCTTCTTATGTTAGGTTTTTTGTTTGGTGGTTGTTTTTTTTAGGATTACAACAAAAGCACATTTTAAAAAAGAAAATCTCATAGTTGTTACATTAACAACAGAACTTTTTAAAACCCATACTGAATATAGCTGAACTTCTTAATAAAATCTACTTTACCTTAGCTTTTCCTTCAAGGGCTCCAGTTCCAGCATAAATTTTACTGACAGAATCACCATTCACAGACCACATGGATCGGAAAACTTCCTGAAAGCGAGTAACCAACTGAGGTTTCTCAGCCAATCCTAATACCTCCAGTTGTTTTGTTAGCATCTGCAACAGTTGAAGACAATATTAGCAAAAGAAAAATCTTTAAATGTATTTATTAAAAGGTACATAATTTTTTTCAGCATATAAGCACACACACAAAAAAATCTTTGGTTTATATGTATCATCCTGAACAAAGTGACACCATGTCATGTTTGAAAGGTTGCATCATATGTGTAACTTCAAAAGAAGATGAAATGTTGCTGCTAAAGATAGGTAGTAATATAGGAAAAGAATTATGTAGCTGATTTGTAAATACTTTCATCTAAAAATTCACTAGTTACAAGGCAAGCTATTTTTGGTTCTCGAGTCTTTCTACTTAGAAAATTTAGAGTTAGAGCAATTCATGTTCTTCCCAAAGAAGTGTAATACCAAACATACTATGCAGCAGCAACAGAGCTCTGTGATCAGTGAAACAGCAATGGCTTCTGTGGCTTCTGTCATTCACGCTATTTTCACACGTAACACATCGCAATCTTTACCCTTATAATCATTATACCTGAATTAATTTTCCATGACGCACAGCCTACATTAAATGCATTTAAATTGTATACATATAATACATATAAATGTATTATTTTACATTTAAATACATTACTTAAATGTAGCATTATGCTCATGGATGTAGAATGGGACATTGTACCTTGTCTGAAATCCTGGTTTATGGAATCACGATTACTAAAAAAAGTCAAGTAAGTTTCTAGTATTTGTGGCTATCAACATAATACCAAAAATAAATACCAAAAATTAAAACTAAATAAAAAAACTATTTTCAAGAGCTTTTAAAAATCTTTAAAACTTTGAGGTGTCCAACGGCAAGAAGGAGTCATCTAAAGTGATGAGCATAAAATGACACAAAGACAAAATTCCAAAGCTTGGGCAGGAATTAACGGAAGTTACCATTTTCCTTCTTATTAATTAGTTTTACACTTTTAACTCCCATAATTTTAGCTGAAATCGTAAGTTAGCTCTCACCAAGGAAAAATGTGGCACACCTGGTCTAAAAAAAAAAATTACAATATTTAATCCAACCCTTAAAAGGATAAGAAAGTTAAAAATAGAGTTGCAAAGCTAAGTTTGCCATACAAGTACTATATGCATTAAGAGTGTGTAAAGATTTGTTCTTATGTCATAGAAAACTACTGTATTATCTATAAAATACAAGAGGCAATGCTTCTCATGGCTCATTTAAGATAACCTAAGTGCTTACTTCAAGCTTGCATTTCTATCTACAGCAAACTATTAAACTCCAGCAAACAGATTTAGGACCAGGAAAGACTTTAAGGTAATCATTTGTTTCTCCCATGGCAAAGTCAATACAGGATGGACAGATATACAAACCACATAATACAATTCAATGCTGTGAGATTTTCAAAGCATGCCGCTATTCTTTTCAACACACAGTGAACTAAAGAGAAGAATAAGAAATTTTTTTCTTAATTTTAGTAATTAAAAGCTGTGACTACCATGGTACATGCAGAGCTGAAACAACGAAGAAAAAAAGCATTAGATCTCTCAAACTGTCTTGTATCTGCTATAGTATGCACTGATACTGAATGTTTAGAGAAAAATTTTCAGAGTATTTGCATGAGGGTAAACAGTTCAGTATTGCATTTGACTAAAACATCAATAAACTGGCAACAGTGTTCACTTGGTAAACGCAGCAGCAAAGCACTACTTATTCCAGAATCAGAAATGTTTGTTCTACAGCCAATGGATTTTGCAGTTCTCGCAGAAATTCCTCCTATAGTCACTAAAAGAAGACTGTTTTAATTAAATAACATTCAGAAAGCAAAAGAATAATCCTTTTACTAAGTTTGATGTTACAGCACACGTAATTTTTCATTTTTAAACATGCTAAGGGTTTTATCTTTAGGAGTCAGACTTAGTTTATTCAGGTGAATGGAGCTGTCAAAAGTTTTCCGGAGCTACTCTTTTAGCCCAGTCAGTGCTATTTTACACCATCAATTCCTATCAGGTTCATTTATTCAAGTTCTACTGTACAAGCCTGCAGGCTAAAACCTTTGTTTCAATAGCAAGCTAATATGCTGAAGCACAACCCTGCAGAAAGACAGAATTCCACAGTTAATTTTCAACTACTCAGCCTGAGTGTGGTCAAAGCTTCAACCATGATATCACTTCATGAAGAATTCACAGCACAGTGCTGTGAAAATATGAACACGCAGCACTGGCACATGCTAAGAACAGTAATCCTATACGCAGAACTTCATGCAATAGAGTAACTGTGAATGCAAGTGTTTTTATGAAGGACTACAACACTACCACCTCTTCTAGAATTGCAAGCATGAACCTTAACAGACATAAGAAACTGACACCTAAAAAAGAATGAATGTTTTTCATAATTCTGCATCACTACTGTTTAACTACAACTACTACACAACTAACTGCTTCTGTAACTACTAAGATCTGGTTGCCCCAGAACAAGAAAAGTATCATACTATAAATCAAACTGCCATCTATGAAACATTTCCAAGGGGAAATGGTCAGCAAGCTGCTACACCACTTAGACACACATAAGTCTATGAGGCCAGATGGGATCCACCCAAGGGTGCTGAGGGAGCTGGTAGAAGTGATCACCAAGTCACTTTCCATCATTTACCAGCAGTCCTGGCTAACCAGTGAGGTCCCAGAACACTAGAGGTTAGCAAATGTGACACTCATCTACAAGAAGGGCTAGAAGGAGGACCCGGGGAACTACAGGCCTGTCAGCCTGACCTCGGTGCCGGGGAAGGTTATGGAGCAGATCATCTTGAGTGCCATCATGCAGCACATACAGGACAACCAGGTGATGAGGCCCGGTCAGCAGGGGTTTATGAAAGGCAGGTCCTGCTTGACTGACCTGATCTCCTTCTATGACCAGGTGACCCACTTAGTGGACGAGGGAAAGACGGTGGATGTGGTCTACCTAGACTTTAGTAAATCCTTTGACACCATTTCCCACAGCATTCTGCTGGAGAAACTGGCTGTTCATGGCTTAGACAGGTGTACTCTTCACTGGGTGAAAAACTGGCTGGGTGGCTGGGCCCAAAGAGTGGTGGTGAATGGAGTTAAATCCAGTTGGTGGCCAGTTGCAAGTGGTGCTCCCCAGGGCTCAGTACTGGGGCCAGTTCTGTTTGATGTCTTTGTCAACGATCTGGATGAGGGCACTGAGTGTACCACAATCAATTTGCAGACAATACCAAGCTGGGTGGGAGTGTTGATCTGATGGAAGGTAGGAAGGCTCTGCAGAGGGATCTGGACAGGCTGGAAAGATGGGCCAAAACCAACTGTAGGAGGTTCAACAAGGCTCAGTG